AGTTCCAGTGCCAGACCCAAGAAGAATGTTTTATGTCAACTCATCTCATGTGGGTTCTGGTTCCCTGTGTGTGTGGGTTTCCTTTGCTACGCTTCCGTTTGACATGTAATTTTTAATAAGCACCGTTTTCCGCACAAATTTCCCTTTCTCTGTGAGTCTTTGTCTGCAGCTATCTGTGGCAAGGTTGCGGGGACCGTGGTAGGGGAGCTGGTGCTGGCATACATATGTCACATATGTATCCTTAATACGAAGTCGGAGCCCGGACAAAACGTCCCTGGAAGAAATGTCTTCTGTCTAACCTCAGGCCTGTGACTTTTGTGAGCGTTTGATCGATAAGCAGCAACTGCCTGACAGCTCCTCCTCCACAACGTGAGGCATCCCAGCCAGTCTATGCCATGGTATATGGTGTACGGTATATGGTTCCGCCTCCTGACGGGAGTGGGAACGCGTGTTCCCAATGATTAAAACGAGCTCATGAAGTCTCTGGCTTAATTAATAACAACCCGAATAATCGGCGTACTTCCCTGGCCATGCGCCAGTCCCACATGGGGGGATATGGGAACAGGGGTCCGGGTGGAAGGCGGGGCTGTATAATTAGAGTTAAAAATTTGCATAATTTATGTTTATTGGTGCCGCCCCATTGGTTCGGATGGATCGCCGCCTAGGGGTGGTCATAAAATTACAAAATAATCATAGTTTTTCCTTAGCCCCCCCCCCCTCGCTTCCCACACCCTACTTTTGTACTCATCGAAGACATTTCTGTTCAGTCCGCATTTTCTTATGGGGTTTTATGTGGCTGCCCCTCCAGGTTCATAAAATAGGCACCCGAATATGTATGACTTTAACGACCTGCAGCTCTTGACGTAATAAAAAATCCATTTATGGGCATAAATACAAAAGGGAAGGTACGTACACGGGTACGGGTATACGAGTATACGAGTCTACGAGACTCCGTGGTGTATCCGTGTGTTCATTTTCGTTGGGTACAACATTTTCATGGCCGTTCTTCGAGCAGAAATAAATACAGCTAATGAGAATTCCAGAGAATTGAGTTCATCAAATTGAAACTTATAGACCTAATTCGAATAAGGCAATAATATCTGCTGAGATATTAGACTTGAAGCCATTTATGCGAGACTAAATGCTTCCAAAATGTTTCACTGAGCTCCACTGCTTTTCTGTCTTTTGGATAGCGCATAATTTTTAAATAATCTGAAATAACGTGTCTGTCAGGATGTTGAAGTTTCTAAAAATCGACTTCATATCTGTTGTACATGCTATAGCATGTGCATTACGTGACACGATGTACGTGATCCCGAGAAAAACTTGGAGCGTAACATTTATCTATGGGCGAGTTCATTTTCCACCACTCTCCGCACTTTGACAACGAAGATAAAGTGAAAAGCTCGTGGAAATAAACCAATTTGGAAATTGTTTGAATATTATCTGAAAACATGTATCGTTTCAGCGGATTTTAGAGTGGAATTTACGTCGGCAAAGGGATATGGAAGCCGTCCAAGTTTAACAAAGGGGCTATCATCCGACTTGCACTGCTCTTGAATGATTCAAAAACCAATGTGACGTGAATTAAATATTAATAATTTAGAAAACAATTGCTTTTGTATTCCATATTGTTTGGGCCTCCAATTGGGAACTGGATTCTGCAAATGGATATTCTGGTTGAGGGCCTGGATGAGGCCTCTCTCGAAAACTAATTTCCAACACAATCGCGGCGCACAATGGCGACGATTGAAGGGGATTCTGGGGAGTAGAAGGATATTCGGCTTGTCAGGGTGACCAAATATGTAAATACACATTTCAAATGGAATTTGAAATTGTGTAGGCATAATGGTCCTAATATTGCATTATGATGGTAAATTGATAAATTCACAATTCGGAATTACATACAAGTATTACCGAAAGCGAGGTGCATACCGTCCGTCTGCCAGGGAGAGGTGGCGAAGCCTTGTGCAAGGCAGTGTGGCAAACAATAGCAAAACAATCAGACTGTGATATTTAAATGCATATTAACAATGTACACACATGAATATTTATGATGCTCGTAGTTTGGTTAAAAGTGAAAACAAGGCTAGAAATTCACATTCACGAGTATGTATGTACATATGTAGGTACACTGGACTGAGGACTGAGGACTGCAGACTGCAGTTGGTTATCTCATAATTTGTGTCCTGTGACTCGATTAAGTGCAAGTGAAATTCTGGAGAAACTTAAAGGGGAAGGACCCCGTATGAGTATGGTGTCTTTCCCAGTCTAGTCTTCGGAGGGTTAACTCTCGCTTCTGCCCAACTTTGTCTTTTGTTTGATCAACCCGATGCCGCTCCAAGGACGCCCATTAAAATGAAAGCCGGAGTGGGCCGAGAACGCCTTCTTGGCAGCGTTTTTATTTAATAAATAAAACGTATTTTCCTTTGCCTTTTGGCCATATGCGGAGCAGGCAGAAGGCAAAGACAAAAGGCGGGCGGCCTGCCTCCCACCATAATATACATACATACATATATACGGATATATATTACGTATACGCCCAGTGCTGCTTTAATATGCATATGCACGGAGCAGTGAGCAGTGAGCCGGGTGACGGGTGCCGGGTGCCGGGAGTACGGCTATGTCTGTGGTTAGTGACGCGTCGGGGGCCAAAAACAGTTCTCGCTGGCGCTTTAATGAGTTTGCCATTGATTTAGGCGCGCCAACGAGAAGGCACACAGCCAATCCATGAGGCTTTACGCCACTCCGCACTGCCTGACTGCTTTCCTGGCCTGGCCTGCTCTGGCCTACTCTGGCCTACTCTGCCCTGCTCTGGCCTACTCTGGCCTACTCTGGCCTGTTCTGTTCAGGCCTGGCCCGGACCTCGCTTGTCATAATTTATGCGCGAACCATGTTCAATTTGATGGGCGACATTCCAAACCATTTGTGTGCGAGTGAGTGGCGCATATTGTGGCCCTTACTCCGGCTGGATTCCATATTTACCTTTAAGCCGAACGCATTGGGGGGGACTTCACTTTAAAAAAAATTACCGGGATATGCACGCGGACGCGTAGGGATATAGTATTGAATATGTTGACAAAAATCACAGATAATTTAATTGCAAATACTTTGCTTTATTTATGCACGCGCGCTAAGGTATGAGTTTTATTTTAAAATTTATTGTAATTGTTAATTATTTATGGGTTCAGTTTTCTCTGTGATGCTCGTTTGTAATTACAAATGACAGCACATGTTATTTGCCCTCAATTTTTCTTCTCTTCTCAGTTTTTTTTTGGTTTTTGTTTTTGTTGTTTGTTTTATTTTTACACTACCGTTCAGGCTGTTTCTTAACTTTGATGTCCTGCTGTGTGCAATTAATTTACTTTTTCACACTACATGCACTTTGCCTTGCCATTGTGCAATTGATTGATTTCCATGCGAGCAAGTTTCATGCCCCAGCCAGTTTCAAGTCGGGGCTAGCCAGGCGGCGGAGGAGTTTGAACACTGAATGGGGTTCGCTTTGGGGCAGAGTTAAATTCTTGATGACTTGCTCCGGCTTCACGTGGTTCCCTGTGCCCCAAAACTGTGCAACGAAACTTTTACAACCGGCAACCGCAACTTGAGCAACGACAACGACACAATGACGACGACGACGACGGCGACAAAGACAACGACGACGCGGCGGTGGCGGCAGCGGCGGTGGACAACAAGAAACGTACAACAAGAGTATAACAATTGCAACTATGAGAGGACCGCGCACATGCCACACTAATTGAAAATATTTGTATTGGCTGTTACTTATCCCTACGATATCCCTTACGATATGGTATATAGTATATGTATCTGGTTTGTCCCTAGAGTGGATAGGTCCTGCACGGGATTCGCTCCGATATGGTGGCTCTGATATGATCAATTGCTGGGATTATGCTGGGGAACACGAACACACTTTTATGGCGGTTGGTCGATTGCTCGATGGTCGATGGTCGGTCAGTCAGTGGAAGTTCAACGGTCGCATTTTCAAACGCTTGCGCGGCCTGTCCTTCAGCTTTGGTCGCATAATTGAACTTTAATTGACTCGATTCTCGGGGTTTAGTCCCACTCAGGAGGCATATTTCATTTAGGCGTATAAATCACTTTCTTTTTTGTGGCTGGGCCCGCTAAGGGCTTCATGTGCAGTTGTTGTAGCAGGATTAGGAGCAGGAGTAGTAGCCGTAGTAGCACCAGCTGCCACCGCACTCACGACGTCCGGCAATGACGACGACGACGACAATGGCACCGACAGCGCCGACAGTAAGGACGAGAACGAGCACCGACCGCACGGGTTTATAGCAAAGTGCGGCTTCACCGAAAAAAAATGCATTTTAGACGCTGCCGCCTGCCCATCTGAACAGTGTGGAAACGCGAACGCAACTGAAAGGTAAACGCACCCGCAGCCCAAGGAGGACCATCAAATCACAGCAATCTGTTCGTGCCACAGACAACATAAACGACCTCGTGCCTCGTGAACCCCGGCGTTCGTCTGCTGAATTCCCAACCACCGCTGAATACCACGGGAGAGCCGCTGAGAGAGAGAACGAGCAAGCGAGCGAATGCCTTGAGTGAGACTCGGGCCACCACGGGGTATACGTAATGTTTGAGTCGCGTGTCGAGTGGCTGGCAACTTTTGCCGCCAGCTGTCCAAATGGCGCCACTTAGGGGTGGCTGGAGTCAGAGCTCCCGAGTGGCGAGAGTGGTGAAAAGCTCGCAGCTCTTGTGGCATGGGTTGTGGCACGTTGAAAGGCCACTTGAGCCGTTACAATTGCTTCACTTAGGTGATTTCAAAACAGGTATTGAAATATGCCCCATTCCCACACGGAAATAGAATCCATATCAATTAGAAGATTCCATTGCTCACAACCCCTCTTAAGAAACTAAACAGATGTGTGCGCTCCAGCATTTCGAAAACTATTCCACTGAAAACTGATTAGAGCTAAAGAGCTTATGATTATGATTATGAAATTGGCCGCCGACAGACTTACCTCGAACTTTCCACCAATTATGGAGCCCGCCTGGCCAATGTACAGCGTGGAGGCCGAGTCGAAGACCAACTCTATGGGCTCTCGGGTCACCGGCGTGCTGTTGCGCAGCTCGCAGTCGTAGTAGAAGGAGACCCTGTCGCTGAGCACCTGGAATGCAATCGAATTCCACTTGTCCGCCACATGAGCCACACTGAAGCTGGCCAACTTGCGGCCTATGCTCTGGTCGGCCTGAGTGTAGACGAGCGACACATTGTAGCTGTTCTTCACCACCGGCGAGAGGTGAACGCCCAGCTGGACAACGGTGTCCAGCGGGTTCACCACGCTGAACAGGTAGCCGCCCTTCAGTGAGCTCTGGCGGTAAGTGATGAGGATGGCGAACTCGTACAGCTTCTCCGGCAGTAGCATGCGGTAGGGGGACTTTACGTCCGCCGTCTGCAGGAACCGGAAGGCGGGAAACCCATCCTCGGCCTCCCCAAACTCAATGCCCGCAAATTGATTGTTATTCATGATGTCCGTCAGCGTGTACTCGGCAAGGGCATCTGCAAGGATGGAGAAACGTTCTCAAGTGAATAAATTACAACACTTTAATTATCTACATGTACATAAATTAAATAATTCTCGAACTTTCTTATGAATTTCTACCGGGTATAGGAAGAAACTAATGTCATTTAAGATTTTCAGCTTGTTTTTCTTACTGTTCAAAAAGTCAAGATTTTTAACTAATGAAATTTTCAGATTTTAGATGCAATTTTCTTTAAAAATAAGAGCTTTAGTTTCGCATGTTTATTGAAATAATTTCATGTTAAAGAATCATTTTGGCCATGATTTTATTTGATTCTACATGATTTCTACATGAATGCTACACACTACTACATGTACCCAAAAAAATTTGGGAAAGTATAGCATACTTTCAAGTGCAGAATTCGTGTAGATATCATGTAGAAACAGAAAGCATGTAGAGTTCTTTCTGATCTGAAATAAAACGAAACAATATTTCGTAAAAATATCCTGGATCTACATAGGACCTGTTTGTAATTGAAGTCGTCTGGGATAGATTTTTCCAAATATTATAAGAGCTATTGTAAGGTTATACATACATACATATGTATGTACTTACATCATAATAGGTATGAACATTGTACGACAAAATGAAAACTTTTCAGTGCACTTTCCACGAGAACAAAATTAGATTGTAGGCATGGTTGAGTTGCTCACTTCCTCATACTTGAAGTTTTCAATACAGCCCCAAAATCAAAAACGGCGATTTGCTGACTTTGTGCACTTTCAAAATTTTGAATCGGCATCCACAACAATTATTGACGACCTTGTCAATTGACAAAAGTTAATTGAATTTTGACATTTAAGAATTATACACCTTTGACACTCTTTGGACAATTCGATCGATAAGAGGCAAATTTTGTTGAGAACTTATTAGACCAAAGAACTAAACTTGAAAAATAGGAGCATAGCACACAACAACAAAATTATAAAATCCTGTGAAAGGGCGAATAGTTCTCTCTGCAATTCATTAATTTTTATGGATATCCGCGTCGCGAATGCCGAATTCGCAGAGCAAATCGGGGTTTTTTTAAGTAAAAAATAATATTTTGGGGTTATATTGCAAAATTGAAGTATAAGGAAGTAAGTAATCTACTCATCCAGGCCTACAAGATAATTGTTGTACAAAACGACTGTCGCACAGTTTGATTAATGCTTTCACTAAAAGTTTTGAATGTTTCATCTCTCATATTTATTCTCCCAGATACCCTGATATATTTACCTTTAATGGACTGTCCTATTAGGTCAAAGGAGCCCCGGGCAGGAGCTAAAAACGTCCAAACCAGGCCCAGCATCAACAGTAGCAGACGCATCTTGATCAGAGCCACAACACTGCAAGAAATAACAGAGAAAGGATTAGCTCCTGTTTCAATATGTAATCAATATATAAATATTTGGCAATAAATAATAGCTACGAGTACGTGTTCACGCAAGCGGACACTTCTGCGGCCAAATAAGCCCACCGCAGACACGTTGTCTGTCAGCCGCAATTATTGGTAACACGAGCCGCACTTGACTCGACGGGGAAGCTACCAGCAGGCATCCCTCAGGTACAACTGACGAATGCATATTGCAATTACGGGAACACGGCGCCAGCCACGAAGCCCTTGTCCATGCCCATTCCGGGGTGCACACACACCCAAAAGGCCCACCTGGAAGCCGCACAACTTTGTGGTCGTCTTTCGCTCACAAATTGGCAGAGACGAGCCGACGGACCTATGCGTCATTCATGGGTTACCAGTGGGGCACATCGGCGGCCGAGATTAATGGCAATTAGGAGAGCCGGATCTCTAGATCTTAGCCACAAACCGATGGTAGATAGGGAAGCGGAGACACACCTAGAACCGAATACAGTTTGTAATTTGTTTGTCAGCGGCTCTGTGGCAGCTGTAATGTCAGAGATCAATGCCGAAAATTACCCATAAATACACTTTTTGTCAAGTTATTTGTGTTGAAACCTTAAAATTGGGCCCACCCAATAAATCATTGTAATCCCAGCCGCAGCTCATTTTCTAATTGCCAGCGACCAAGGGCAACTGATAAACCCATTCAAGTTCTCAGCAAACTTCTGCCTCGCTGTCTACTACCAGTCTGCTGTTGTCCAATTCGACCTCTCCACTTGTCATGTGTGAATAATCTAACACAATTAATGGGCGCCAGCTCCCCAAAGAAAACGAAACCGAAACCGAAACAGAAACAGATGCAGATACAGATACGATCTTGTACATACATTTAAAACTATGCCGCTGACCTCAAATTGTCACTGGACAGGGGCCGACAATTAATATTTATCAAGCATGGCTCTAGAAGAACCCACAAGATACAACATTTCGAGGCTCAACACTTTCACGCCGCCAGTCTTTTATGGTCTGGAATGCAAATTACTTTCAATTGTGATCATTCAGTAAAAGTATTTTCATCTCTTCATTAGACACAGCTAGCTGACAGTTCACAGAACACATTTTGATGATCTTCCAGCCATGCCTGCTGACACATCATAAACCGTGGTTCCCACCACATGGCAAGGAAGCTCCATAAAGATGTGAATAAAATGACAGATCACTACACTGGAAAAAAGGCATTGAACCCTTTGATTGAGTGATGGATCTCCTCTTATGTACATCCCTTATCTTTATGATAACTTTGCTCTACTCGTATATGCTTCCTTTTAGTAATAAAATCGATATATTACAATATGTGCAGTCCATCGATCTGGCATACTTGGTACTTCGTGGAGGCCACTTTTTATATCTGTAGCATAAACTAGTCACAAATAAAAACTACTCTTTCCCGATTCCATAGCTTTTCTAGTAAATGGCAAAAGACATATTTTTTTTAACAATTTTTACTACCAGCTAAAATTATAATTGCAAAAAGTTCTCTAGTTTCTTGTATATAGGGATTTTTATGGCGAGAAAAAAACTGCAAATGTGTTATTCTTATATTGATGCTTTATAAATAGCAATATCAAAACAAATGCATAATCATAACCATCCATCCCATGGGCCATATGTCTATATGCAATTGCGTCACGTATCAAAATACCAAATAGAATTACTCGAATCTTCCAACTCAACGACTGACTGTGCTGTGAATGAATCTTTTCATTTGCAATACTTTCAGGTACATACATACATACATCCATACATACATACTCGTATGAACTCGTAATTCCATCATGCTCAATTTACCGACTACGTATGCTAAACATCTGATTCAACAATCTGGCCGGAACACTTAATGATATCATTAGGCCCAAAACGAAAGTAATACAAATTGAACAATCCCCAAAGAAGACTTTGATTTTCGACACATTCCTGGCAGAGATGCTGCCCGCGTCCGCGTCCGTGTCCGCGTCTCTGGCCATCTGAGGCATTTCAAAATGGGCTTCCTGACATAATGAGGCAACGTTTATGCAGTTCACAGACGGAACGCCGCCAGCACGTGCACCGCCCGCGTGGCCAATGTCAGAGCCGACGCCGACGTCGACCCCTTCTGCCCCTTTCGACGATCCATATGCACGCATCTTAGACTCTAGGAATTCTGGGGAGTCCCAGAATTCGCCGCCTGTTTGCTTAGAATGGGCCGCACGTAGCGCCGATTATTTGGGCCTAACCGGCAAACATGGGCGGGCCCGGACCGGGGCCGAGACCGGCACGGTTCGGTCGCGACTCGACTCGACTCGACTCGAGTGCCTCATGTTAATGCCCGCGAAAGTGTCGAAAGACAAAACATAATAAATAAAATCCTCATCGGCCCCCAGTCCATGTCGGCATGGGGTGCCCACTGGCTGAAATCAAAGTTTCATATATTTCACTTATAAATTTATGAGTCATTATGATTTCCCGCTTTGAGTTTGCGGCCATTTGCCCCGCCGGGCCATATGCAATTCCCAAAACCAATAAGCAATAAAATTGTATTCAAACTAGCAGCACCAGAAGCAGCAGCAGCACCAAAAACAGCAACAGCTGCTGGAGCAGGCCAATACTATCACTTTTTTGTTAAATCACATTCCATGTACAGATAGGGCCATCGTATGCATCGTACAGCGCAGCAGATCTGAGTGGTTGTCGGTGGTTGGTGTCGTAAAAAGTTACGCACATCAAATTCAAAAGTCGTCAGAGCGTTGCACATTCAAAAACGTCGGTGGCTCAATGAAGACTCAATGAAGGGAAACCCCGAGACCGTTCAAGACAAACAAAAAAAAGTGAGGAAAATTCTAATAAAATTGTATTTTCAATAGTAAATCGGCTCAATATGACTGGGGGGCATGGGCATAGGGCATAGGAAAGGGCTCTCCCGGTCACACAAGACGTACCAAGAGCCGTGAGCGATAAAGGGAGGGCTGGAGGTAAGGAAAGTGTGCCAGTATGTCATACTAAGCAGGCACCCAAAGACCCATCTTGGTGGGCACACGCGTGGGTATGCTCCGTTATACCCTATCCAATGGCATCGGCATAGCAAGACAGGCATCTTCTTGGATTGGAAAAAGTGAAAGAAAATGTGTCATATTCTAAAGGAAGTTCATTTAACACAAATAGTCCATGGAGCATACGTTTTTCAGCGGAACTAGTCTTAGAATTGGGATATATTTTTAGAGATGATACCGTGAGGGTATTCTAAACTCATTTAATACCTCTCCAGGGTCTTTTTGGAAGATGAAGATTCGGTAAATGGTCCAACCCAGGGCATCCCATGTTCGGTTTCCTCCTTGTGGTCTTTCGGTGGGGGCGCTGCCTGGTTCGTGGCGTACTCTTTGTTGCCTGGTTCTGCCCCCTAAGTGAACTATTAGCTCTGTTGATTTTATGTTTTCCAATTTGTTTTGCGATGTACTTGTTGTACGGCTGCGAGGGGTGGGATCGGGGCGAGGGGGAGGCCAAAAAGTTCGCTGTCATCCAGCGTGTCGCTTGTCGACGTTTATTGGCCTTGGTTTATTCGCTACGCCCCCGAACCGAACCGAACCGTACCGAACCGCCCCGTTTGCAATTCCTTTTGTTTGATTTAAAGGATTTGCATGCCAAATTTGACTTTATTTGTTTTTAAGGCTAACACAAGCACACACACACACACACACACGCACACGGATACACAATACATCCATTTACGTGCATCAATATGTTTAACATTGGAACAGCCCTCCTTAAAGGTGGGAAATACTTTACAAACGGCTTTGCATAAATAAATCGGTAGCACACCCGCACCCAGGCCGAGAGTGCAACGAAAACAAGTCGTTGCCTCTGTGCGGTCCACAGCGCAGCCACAGAGGAGCAGAGCCAAGACCACATGTTGCATGCGGCCTCATACTAAATGAGTGGCAGTCTGGCTGCTTGTGGATGGGGCAAGCGATAAGAGTCAAAAGTGTAATTTGATAGCCAGCTGACGGCGAAGGCTGCAGTGGAAGGAAGGCTTGAGATGTAGGGCAGAATCCTAAATACGCAAAGAAACCTGATGATCAGGCCATTTATTTCAGACGCATCTTCAAAGAAAGCAAAAATATGTTTAATACGAGTCGATGCATACATATATGTACAGTGCGAATGATTGAAACAATATCGAACACATTTGTTCAGAATTCGCATGAATTTGAATATAGTCATATATCTGGGGGTCGTTGTAACATATCTGCACCGAAATTCGCCAACAAATATTTATTTTGCGAAACGAATTCGTTGGAACAATGGAAAGTAATTTAGCGATGTCATTCAAAGGATTATTATTCTGAGAAACCATTCATACTTGTTGCCTGAACAATGGAAAATGCATAGACTGGTAGTGGTAAATGTGTGGTAGTGTTGCCGTAAATATTTTTGGGATCGAGAATGGGCTTAAATGCTAATGATGTCTGTGTTTATTTTCAATGGGATTAAATTTCCTGACAATAGCGCTAGGCAAATAAAGCGCCATTTAATAGAATATGGAACTGCGTATACGCAAGCATGCCGTCCAAAATGTCCATAAAGTACGTGGCTATGTGGCAGGCATTGCAATTAGCAATCTGCCACTTGCCCCACTTGCCCCACTTGCTCCCTTTTCATCAGTCGGCCAGCTGCCAGTGAGAGATTTAAATAATCCTTAAGCGAAAGGGCAGACAGCGGAGAAAAGTTCATTGAAATGTGCAACAGGCAGCACGAACGAGATGCGTGGACTCCACTCCACTCCACTCCGCTCCACTCCACTCCAGACCAGACCAGAGCAGCACCCCCGGGCTCCAGCTGTGGCTGTGCGTGCCGCATCGAAACTGATGAATGGGGTGTGCCGCGTCATCATCGTGTTCTTTATTGCTGTCATTATAATGCCTTGCATTTATTTATAGCTTTCGCATCTCTTATCTT